TAATTTGAGGCTGTATTACGTCGATTCTGGCACCCAACATCACAACAAGATGATATTTTAAGCTCCTTATGTAGCCGAATATGCACTGGTTTGAATGGGCCGCCTCCAGTTTCCCATTTGTTTTGCTGCCTCCAGCTAGCGCTGTGACGTCGGCTGACCCTAATTCTCATCTATAATTTTACAGTGCATGGCCCCGTCCATCGGTCCTTCAATGCGGTGAAGTCATCCTGTACCCATAGCAGAGAAACAGCCACAAAGCATAATGTTTCCACCTCCATGCTTGACTGTAGGGATGGTGTTCTTGGGGTCATAGTCAGCATTTCTCTCCCTCCAAACACAGCAAGTCAAGTTGATGCCAAAGAGTTCAATTTTGTTCTCATGTGACAACAGCACTTTCTCCCAAGCCTTCTCTGAATCATTTAGATGTTCAGACGGGCCTGTACATGTGCCTTCTTGAGCTGGGGGACCTTGCGGGCACTGCATGATTTCAACTCATTGCAACGTAGTTTGTTACCAATGGTTTGCTTGGTGACTGTTGTCCCAACTGCCTTAAAGGTTCCATATTGTCAAAACTGAAATTTCCTGGCTTTTTTCATGATAACTGGGGTCTAGGTGCTATGTAATTACCATATAAGTTTCAAAACAGTCAGTCCACAGGAAAATTCACACAGCCTGCTTAAAGTTGCTGTGATTTTTCACGAACCATTGTGACTTCCGTAAAAAGTTGATGTCAGGACTACTCAGTCACCGACTTCAGTCACCACCCCGAGCACCGCCCACAGTCCCACTCTCCTTTTGCCAAACCCCCAGACAACATCGCGGAAACATGTCGAAAAGCTTAACTTTAACCACGAAACAAGATCGGCCGACCTGTAACGTTACGCTCGCACTCAAAGGATGAACGATCTGACAGGACTGTTTCAATGAGGTGGATCACATCTAACGTGTATAGTAAAGACAAACTCACCGTGTCTATCTAGTCATGATGAAGATGTATATACATTTCAATATATTTTAAGCTCCTTATGAAGCCGAATCTGCGCTGGTTTGAATGGGCCACCTCCAGTTTCCCCTTTGTTTTGCTGCCTCCAGCTAGCGCTGTGACGTTGGCTGACCCTAGTTACCTGTGGTTGGCCTGGCCATGCGTCACTCAGAAAACAACAGGCCAATCAGAAGAGAGGCTCATGAATATTAATTAGACAGGCCAAAATCGTCCTGTTCTCAGCGGAGCTCCTGAGAAAGGAGCTGTAAAAATATATTGAGATGGTTTTTGGTACTTATACCGAAAATATATATACTTAAGGACATCAAAACCTAAAATAAAACTCCAGAAAGGTGTAAAATATGGAACCTTTAAGATCATTAACAAGCTCCTCCTGTGTAATTCGGGGCTGATCCCTCAACTTTATCATGACCATCCTTTCCTCATAAGGCGAGATCTTGCATGGAGCACCAGACAAGCAGGGGATCAAATAATTATTTTCCCCACTGTACAATCATATTAAAGAGTAACTTTATGGTCCTTCAAACTTAAACTTTTTTTTTTTTTGGCAGTGTTTTAAAGTATCTTTTTAGTTGTAACATTTGTATTGTTTGTAAATATTAGAGCAAAACAGGCTTTTGAGTCAATCTAGAAGTACTCTTGAAGAATACAGGATTATAACCAAAATTTATACTAAATCAAGGTACATAAATGGCTGTCATCAAATTCTCAGAAATATTTTAATCCAATTAAATTGTATGGAAACTGGAATCAGAATAAGAGAATAAGAATAATTGTGAATCAAACTGAATTGAATCAAGATCAGAACTTAATTAAGAGCTTGTGAATCAAATGGAATTATGAAATCTCTATCAATCCCCAGCCCAACATATGAGTGATCATATAAAAAATAAAAAAAACGTACAAAGGCGAAGGTGCCGTGATTCTAGGTGGCCCTTAAAAGAGTCTCTGGGGTGTAGTTGGCTCCTGCTGACACAAGAAAAAGGGAGGAAAAGAGGAAACATCAGAGAGATATGTAAATACTACACATCTATACTGGAAAGGCAGTCAGTCCGTTGCAGGACAATTGAATGAGTTTCATGAAAGCGGCAGTTTTTGAGGAAAACAAACTTTTCCCTCAGACTGTCCTAGTAATAGACTATAATTAGATTTGATATTTACTTTCTTCATATTTTTAAATTTAATTGATATTGATAATGGCTTACGTTTTAAAAATAAGTGAAAAGTACTTACCACAGGAAAACTTGCAGCTGACTTCTGGCGATTCACTCAGAGGGGAAGTCCGTTATGCGCGCATCCGACACAAGCCTCAGTTTATATAACCTCTGCCAGGTTGTTGAATAAAATTTAAATTTTGTGGGGTGTAAGCAAAGTTTATATATTTTATTTTTTAATCATTTGTAAAATGCATTTATTTCACCACACTTGTGCTTACCCAGACATTATATTGAGAATGCAGATTCATGTTTTTCATCTGCAGAACAATTTACAGTAGCACTACTGCTTTTGAGCATACAGTAAAGTACCGCAAATTCCCATATGCAGTAAATTACTGTAAATGGCATTAAAATCCGCATAATTCAGTGCATATTACAGTAGTTAACCGTAAAACAAATATATGGTAGTTTACTGGGCTTTTTTTGTGGTAAGTAACTGCAGAATTACAGCAAAGTCTAACAGTGTATGTACAAGTCATTGGTGTTTGGTGATGAGTTTTTGGCTCAAGGACTGCATTTAAAGTCACACCAGAGGTGTTCAGCTGGGATTAGGACTTGGCTTTGTGCAGACCAGTCAAGTTCTTCCACACTGACTGACTCAGTCAATCTTTTTTTTTTAACCTTGCCTTATGCACAGAGGCATTGTCGTGTTAGAATAGAAAATGGTCCTGTTCAAACTATTGGTATAAAATTAGAAGCACACAATTTCCTAGAATAGCATTATATGCTTTTTTTTTTACTAAAAATTAGAAATTACTAAAGTAGTCAAACCTGTTCATTAGAAGGGTGTGTCCCAATACTTTTGTCAATATAGTGTGCAAGCCAGCCTAGCTATTCAAAATCTTTGTCTGCAATTTAATAATATTGACCTATTACTTTTGCTATTGCTTTTGACCATTAGGTATCAGTAACATAATTAATTCAGAACCTGTTTTATGGACATAGACTTTCTGTACCACACTATTCTGCTGATATGGAATGAGTTTGACTACTTAATCAGTTATATTAATAGAAATGCTTCACTGCATGGGGCAAGCAAAAAAATCTATAAATAATACAGTCAATTTTAAAATAAAATAATATCCTAAAATAATGAATAGGAGACCCCCATAACACCAGCATTTCCAGCAGTATCCAACATTTCTCAATCATAATCTTACTCGGCTAAATGTGACTATTAGCTTAACAGCTGTATTCCTTGTTTGCTAGCTACCTATGCACATGCAGCATACAAAGTTAAAAATGTTCTACATTATGAGCCTTATCCCAAAAACCTTTAGCTTCATACACTGTAGATAATTGTGACCCTGCCTGTGGAAACCCAACTAAATAATAAACAGTGGATGAGTAACTCACTCATTGATTTGCTTAATAAAAGCCTCCTTTGAGATCGTTTTGACAGACATGTTTATTGTGTATTATTTTCAACGTGTTTATTGCTAAGTTTAGTGTGGCAAAATAGAAGAGCAGCCGTAATTTGTGAGCAGTGTATCTGGTTGCCATGACAACCTCACACGCGTCCTCCTGCTGCTCTATGTAATCAGAGTATGAATTTGTAGATTTTCTATAGCAAAACTAAAATGTGTTTAAAAGTGCGACTGACCAAATCGTCCGTCTCGGTTTGCCCTCCTCGAACTCTAAGACATCTCTAATTTGACAGTTTACCATTTGATCTCACTCATTGACTCTAGGCTACGTAGGACGGGACGAAACCATGCAGTGAATGGGGGGGGAGATCATTTTGCTGGAAATGCAAAATAGAATTTTGTTTTATTTGTAACTCTTTGGTAGATACATTTATAATTTCTATTACATTACTACTACTACTGTTACTACTAATAAAACGGATCTCTGGGGGCCCCAAAAGTGCGTGGGCCCTTAGAATCGTCCTAACTTCCCCCCCTTAGCGGCACCCCTGACTGTACCTTTGAGGTTTCAGTCCAACCCCAGATAACCTGTAAAGATGTTTGCTTGAAGTAGTATAAATGCTTAACCTTGTATATTGTGTTTTACACGGTAGATGTGCCAGGATCTTTTTTTTATACGTGTTTCTTGGTTTAATCACTATTTAGATTCAAACACTCGTTTAATAGAATTGACAGTCTTTCTTCCTGTGGTAAGCCGTGGAAACATCTCGCACACTTCTGTTTTAAATTGAATGCAGAAACAGGAAGAGGAAGTATATTGTAGTCCGCACTCTCTTCTCTCTGACTGATAAGCTCTCTGCCGGCTGTCAGGAAGAGCTTGTTCGAGAGGAGGATGAAGGAGACCGATCGAGCTGCTCGCCGGGTATTTTATCAACTTCGGTGTCTTCTGTCATGCTGTATTTTTTTTACGTTTATAGCGTGCTGTCTCCCGAACATGCAAATATTGATGCATTAGAATAGTAATGAACTACAGTGAAGTAATTTCCTCACAGTAACTGTTGTGTCCGTTTGTACACAGTAAGTGTTTTCATTGCACAAGACCGGTCTGTTAGCATCATACTAGCATTCTTATCTTTTTTTACTGGGTTTGAACTCTTTGAAATGTTTCATTTAATGTATTTGTATGTATAGTTATTTATTATTATATAGTTGATTTTGCTCTTCTGAAACCAACCAACCAATCAATCTATTTTTGTGCAACAGTGCTAAATTATGTCCCAAGAATGAGTATTTATAAACCTCTTTGTAAACCTGTTGGGCAGTCAGAGTTGAATTAGTCATTTTGCCCAACTTTCATCCTTGTTAGTTGACTAAATGTCTTCATCTTTGACTTGATTTCTTGTTTTCTTCTAGTGCTTCAACTCAAACTTCAGCAGAGACGGACTCGAGAAGAACTGGTTAACCAGGGGATCATGCCACGTAAGGAGCACTCACACTTTCCTACTAGTACTAGTTAATAATCTGTTGCAACTAGGCAGTTCTGTTAGCTTGTAGATTTGAGGATCTCAGACGTTCTGTAGCACATCCCGGTAGTGCCGTGTTCAAAATATCGATACGACGATGTATTGTCACAGAGATTTGACGATACGAGTATCGATACAGCTGGCCCTGTATCGATACTGTGGCACGTGTGCAGCAGTGGACCGCGTTTAATTTTACAACGTTTAAAATTTAGTAGAAAAGTGCGAGGTTTCTAAAAAAGAATGAATAGAGCATCTGTTAATAATCTGGCTGCAGAGGAACACAACGGGGTTGCCTGATATAAAGAGACGTAATCCCCAAAACAGAGCTTTACACTTGCGCAATACAGAAATATCTGCTAAACGTACTACTTATCTTTGTCAACCTGGCAACCCTGTGCTCACGTGCTCTTTCTCCACTGGATAAATGCGCTTGCTTTCTGAAAACACCGCTTAGCTTGCAGTTTAGCTATCTCCACTTCAAGTCTATTCTCAGAAAAGTGTGATTCATCAACTGTTCATTTACGACAGAGAGAGAGAGAGGCTGTGTATGTATGAATTACCACCGTTTTGCCGCATTTCTCTATTAACAGTAAAGCTATGGCTTTAATTCCTTTAGAAACAATGATGCTACCAGCTCCTTGTTGAGAAAGATAATGTAGCTCATGAGAGATTAAGCTATTTAGTTGATAAAATTGCGGGGCAGCGCTAAAAAGTTTGTTCCTGAATGTCTGAGTTTGGCCGCAGCGTGATCTGTGTGTGTGACTGCACTTAACACCAAATTGCTTGTTTCACACAAAAGCTGGCACAGATGTGCATGTTCGGCTAGAGTCGCTTTGAACTCGTGCATCTTCGGAAGCGGAGCTGCACGGAAAGTTACAAAAAATGTTGTGCACACCGCCACGCGAAACGACGTTGCGCGCACTCAAAGCGAACTTGCTGACGCTCGAGTATAAATCAGCCATAAATCAGCCTTGAGCGTGTGTGCGTTAGATACAGTGAAGACAGCGCGTTAGTTTAGAACTCTTCTAATTTTTTTTTTGATTGTAGAGAGTGTGTTAATTTGTGCAATGATAACCTATAGAAATGGCTCTATAGTAAGCAGTGTTTAATAAACAGCTGTTTTTCTAAATTCTGCTGCGGTGAAATTCAGTGCAGTCATGTATCGTGATATGTATCGTATCGTGGCCTCTGTATCGTGATACGTATCGTATCGTGACTTTGCTGGTGATACACAGCCCTACATCCCGGTTGTTCCTTTGGTCTGATTTTGAAGACATTTTCGTTCCTTGAACAAGATTCGTCCTACACCTGGTTCATGGTTTTCATCTTTATGTGAGTCTGGGTGAAATGTAGATGCCTTGTGGTTAGACCTAGTAGGTATAGCTAGTCTCGCTCATCCTGTCTAAGATGCTGATTTGGTTTGGTAAACATAAGATAGAGTCGAACTTCCTTTGCGTTGTGGTTTTTCTCTGAGCATGAAAGGTTGGCCCATTCATCTCAAAACTACAACATTTCGAGCTTAACTGTCAGGTCATCACTATTCTGATGGTGTCAAGGTTTCCATCTCATGTTGGCTGGAGATGTATGGTTTGATTTAAGTTAGTTAAAATGTAAAAGATAGATTGCATGATGATTTGAGTGCTTAATGATGAGTAAAACGAGTAACCGGAGGACTCACCCAAACATGGATCCCAGTGTAAGTTGAACAAGCTCTTTTTGAAGTCAAAACTTTAAAGTAGCGTAGCCCAAATTACTCAACAGATCTTGTTCTCCCTCACCAAGTGTCTTATACAAGAATTACCAAATTATATTTAATACCTCAAGTTTTAGGTTACTATTGGTCATAGCTAAGATGGTGTATGAGCAGAAAGTTTGATTCAATTCATTAAATGTTGTGTCCGCCTCTGTTAATGTTGTTTGGGTCTTGGTTCATTTGAAGCCAGTGCAAAAGGATGGTTCTGTTACACTTTTTTTGTAGTGGTTGTCGAGTTTAGTCAAGCGAGAAGTTTGAGACGTCATTCTAGTGTCTCTATAGGCATTTATGTGAAGCATATTGTTGACACTTAACTGAGACTTTAACACTAAAGTTGGCTCACACAGGATGCACGGTTTAAAACAACGCAACACTTTCGACACTTAAAGGTTCATGATTAATTTAGTAGCCTTTGAGAACATTTTAAATGCTGTTTCGTACACCTCTTATGGGTTATTCCAGTGTACTCCAATAATAGTTTTACAGTGTTTTTCGTATTATAGGATCATGATTAATTTAAAGGGGTCATATGATGCTGCTAAAAAGAACATTATTTTGTGTATTTGGTGTAATGAAATGTGTTTATGCGGTTTAAGGTTCAAAAAACACATTATTTTCCACATACTGTACATTATTGTTTCTCCTCTATGCCCCTACCAAATTATATTTAATACCTCAAGTTTTAGGTTACTATTGGTCATAGCTAAGATGGTGTATGAGCAGAAAGTTTGATTCAATTCATTAAATGTTGTGTCCGCCTCTGTTAATGTTGTTTGGGTCTTGGTTCATTTGAAGCCACTTTTGTATCAGTGCAAAAGGATGGTTCTGTTACACTTTTTTTGTAGTGGTTGTCGAGTTTAGTCAAGCGAGAAGTTTGAGACGTCATTCTAGTGTCTCTATAGGCATTTATGTGAAGCATATTGTTGACACTTAACTGAGACTTTAACACTAAAGTTGGCTCACACAGGATGCACGGTTTAAAACAACGCAACACTTTCGACACTTAAAGGTTCATGATTAATTTAGTTTCGTACACCTCTTATGGGTTATTCCAGTGTACTCCAATAATAGTTTTACAGTGTTTTTCGTATTATAGGATCATGATTAATTTAAAGGGGTCATATGATGCTGCTAAAAAGAACATTATTTTGTGTATTTGGTGTAATGAAATGTGTTTATGCGGTTTAAGGTTCAAAAAACACATTATTTTCCACATACTGTACATTATTGTTTCTCCTCTATGCCCCGCGTAAACATAAGATAGAGTCGAACTTCCTTTGCGTTGTGGTTTTTCTCTGAGCATGAAAGGTTGGCCCATTCATCTCAAAACTACAACATTTCGAGCTTAACTGTCAGGTCATCACTATTCTGATGGTGTCAAGGTTTCCATCTCATGTTGGCTGGAGATGTATGGTTTGATTTAAGTTAGTTAAAATGTAAAAGATAGATTGCATGATGATTTGAGTGCTTAATGATGAGTAAAACGAGTAACCGGAGGACTCACCCAAACATGGATCCCAGTGTAAGTTGAACAAGCTCTTTTTGAAGTCAAAACTTTAAAGTAGCGTAGCCCAAATTACTCAACAGATCTTGTTCTCCCTCACCAAGTGTCTTATACAAGAATTACCAAATTATATTTAATACCTCAAGTTTTAGGTTACTATTGGTCATAGCTAAGATGGTGTATGAGCAGAAAGTTTGATTCAATTCATTAAATGTTGTGTCCGCCTCTGTTAATGTTGTTTGGGTCTTGGTTCATTTGAAGCCAGTGCAAAAGGATGGTTCTGTTACACTTTTTTTGTAGTGGTTGTCGAGTTTAGTCAAGCGAGAAGTTTGAGACGTCATTCTAGTGTCTCTATAGGCATTTATGTGAAGCATATTGTTGACACTTAACTGAGACTTTAACACTAAAGTTGGCTCACACAGGATGCACGGTTTAAAACAACGCAACACTTTCGACACTTAAAGGTTCATGATTAATTTAGTTTCGTACACCTCTTATGGGTTATTCCAGTGTACTCCAATAATAGTTTTACAGTGTTTTTCGTATTATAGGATCATGATTAATTTAAAGGGGTCATATGATGCTGCTAAAAAGAACATTATTTTGTGTATTTGGTGTAATGAAATGTGTTTATGCGGTTTAAGGTTCAAAAAACACATTATTTTCCACATACTGTTCGATTCAGATGTCCCGATTCGATTCGATTTCGATTTGCAAGCTCTCGATTCGATTCTCGAATTTTTGATTACATTCAGTGAATATAGTTTTAATACAAATGCTATTGATATTTAAAAAAAAAAAATTACAGTAAACATCAGTTTACAAATGGTGAATTAATAAAAATAAATTAATGCTGTATTTTAAACCTATACTTTTTTTTGTATGGGTCCTTTTAAAAAAAAATAATAGGGCCCTATAAAATGTTCTTAATTTTTCTGGTAATCAGATGAAGGCATAAAACATTAATTTAATTTATCCTAATCAAATGAAAAGTAAACCCTTTTATTTTTTGGCAAACAAAGTGCTGCACAACAGAGGTTTACTGTTAAAATTAAAAAGAAAACAGATGTGATTATTCCTTTAAAAATAAAGATGTATTATTTATTAGCAGTAGTAGCATTGATTCTTAAGACTGCTAAATAGTAATATATTCTGACAGTTTCTTAACGTTAAACTAAACTTTTATTTTGACGGGTTGCCATGAAGAACTTGCGGCTGCTGTGTATGTGATATGACGGTAGATTTCTCAAATGAAACAGTAAAATGCTAATGAAGTGACTCTCAGAGCAGCTGGAGATGACATTCGTGTTCATATCATCATGTAGTGAGATGGCAGAAGCTGAAAACACCGCGAGCATCATCCGCGCTTTAGTATGTGTAGTGTGCACAAAACAGTGCGCCGCGCGATCTGCCATTCATTCATTCATTGCGGAAATCATGGCGCCTATGTGTGATATCAAATTCTTCCTCAGATTTATAGTATTACTATAGCACTTCACCTGAGCATTGCGAAACACGCGTATGGCCATGATAAGCGCTGAATGAATGACAGGCTTTCTGTTGTAACATCGCGCAAGGTAAATAAGGGTAACACCTAGTGGAGAAGACTAATGATAAGAGTCACATTAATCAGATCTCGTTTTAAATGTGTGCTGAAATAAATCCCGGAAAAGATCGATTCGCGTCTTTTGAGAATCGA